AAAATATTAATAAATACTGTAATAGTATATAAATAATACTAAACAACACTGCTCCATGGGTTGGATTAAGGGTTCAAATCCTAATGAACGAATAATAATAAAGCCTTAGCTAGCCCCATTCATTAAAAATGTAAGTAATCGATATTTCTGTGGTTATGGATTAATTACTGGCTTGGTGGCTTTCTTACCCCAATAGCGTTGATGTCACTCTCATGGCCTCCAAATGTCTGTCTGCACTGGCCGTCACGGATGTCCCACAGTTTGGCTGTGTAGTCACAGGCTCCTGAGATGAAAGTGTTGAAGTCAGGGGCCACAGCCAGAGACATACAGTCACCCAGATGACCAGCGAACACGGTTTTCTGCGATCCCGTCTCAATGTCCCACAGAACACTGGAAAAACGCCAGAGGCCACGTTATTAAAGGAAATGAAATGAATACATCATTTGCAACAAACTTTTCTTTGCTATTTTAGTTTATAGCTATTAGGACAGTCTAAAGTGAATGTACCAGGTACAGTCTCCAGAGCTGGTAATGATCTCATTGTCATTCAGGAAGCGGCAGCAGGACAAGTAACCTGATCAGCACAAAACCCATAACAGAAATTCAGATCATATACAGTCAAAACAGAGACTTCAAGACACAGCTAGCTGATGTAAAATATTTCATTGGCTAGATATTGCTCTTGTATATTGCACACTGATTCACATATTCTCACCTGTGTGTGCTGCGAGCTCACGCATGACCTTCACGTTGCCATCTTTGCCCTTCAGGTTATAGATGGAGCACATGTTGTCAAGGCCTCCACACGCCACCATGTTTCCTGAAGGTGCGTACGAACATGTCATCACCCACGAGGACTTCAGTGGGATTGCATGCACCTGGACCACAATCAGGGATGATGGTTCATTAATTTTATTAAGGTTTTATAGGCGAATGGTAATATGGGCCTCATTCATTAAACTTTCGTAAATATGAGTACATTCTGCGTAACTGGTTTGTAAAATGGACCTTCCCGAAAACTTTCCTTAGGATTCACAAACACTTTGTCTATAATAAAGACCAAATTTATTTTCACATTTGACTAACTGGCCATCTAATTAATTTTGTTATTATATTATTAACAGTATCATCAGTTTGCA